ACTAACACAGGAACACAACACCTCTTGCCACTATTAACACAGGAACATAACAACCCTGCCATTACTAACACAGGAACACAACATAACCGCCACTACTGACACAAGAACACAACATCTGCCACTACTGACACAGGAACACAACATCACCCAAGCTGCTACTAACACACAGGAACACAACATAACCTGCCACTACTAACACTGAACACAACATCACCTGCCACTACTAACACAGGAACACAACATTCGCCACTACTACCGACACAGGAATACAACATCACCTGCTGCTACTGACACAGGAACACAACATAACCTGCCACTACTAACACTGGAACACAACATCACCTGCCACTACTAACACAGGAACACAACAAAACCTGCCACTACTGACACAGGAACACAACATCACCTGCCACAACTAACACAGAACACAACATAACCTGCCACTACTAACACAGAACACATCACCTGCCACTACTAACACAGGAACACATCACCTGCCACTACTAACACAGGAACACAACAACACCTGCCACTACTAACACAGGAACACATCACCTGCCACTACTAACACAGGAATGACAAATAACATCTGCCACTACTGACACAGGAACACAACATTTACCTGCTGCTACTGACAGTGAACACAACAACATTCACACTACTGACACAGGAACACACCAACACCCACTACTAACACAGGAACACATCACCTGCCACTAACACAGGAATTGTGAAACAACACCTGCCACCACAACACAGGATCACAACATCACCTGCCACTGCTAACACAGGAACACAACAACACTCTGCCAATTACCAACACGGTAATAAAACAACACCTGCCACTAATAACACAGAACACAAACAACTCCGCTACTACTAACACAGGAACACAACATCACCTGCCACTACTAAAACAGGAACACAACATAACCTGTCACTACTGACACAAGAACTCAACACCCGCTACTACTAACACAGGAACACAACAAACTCATTGCCACTACTAACACAGGAACACAACATCACCTGCCACCACTAACCCAGGAACATAACATCACCTGCCAATACTAACACAGGAACACAACAACACCTGCCACTACTAACAAAGGAGCACACCAACACATTATACTACTAACACAGGTACACAACATAACCTGCCACTACTAACACAAGAAAACAACAACACCTGGCACTACTAACACAGGAGCACAACAACTCCTGCCACTACTAAATTACAGGAACACAACAACACCTGCCACTACCAACACAGGAACACAATAACACCCAACTCTACTAACACAGGAACACAACAACACCTGCCACCACAGCACAGGAACACAGCAACACCTCCCACTCATCAACACAGAACACAACATTACCTGCCACTACTAACACAGGAACACACAACAACATCTGCCACTACAACACAGGAACACACCAACACATGGCACTACGAACACAGGAACACAACAACTCCTGCCACTACTAACACAGGAACACAACATTACTCCGCCAATTACTAACACAGTAGAACACAACATCATCTGCCACTACTTAACACAGGAACACACCAACACATGGCACTACTAACAGCACAACATAATCCTGCCACTACTAACACAAGAAACAAATAAACACCTGGCACTACTAACACAGGAACACAATAACTCCTGCCACTACTAACACAGAAAACAACAACACCTGCCACTACTTCAACACAGTGAAACACAATAACACCTACCTCTACTAACACAGGAAATACAAACAACACCTGCCACTACTAGCACAGGAACACACCAACACCTCTCACTACTACAGGAACACAACATTTACCCGCCACTACTAACACAGGAACACAACAACATCTGCCACTACTAACTATAGGAAACACACCAACACATGGCACTACGAACACAGGAACACAACAACTCCTGCCACTACTAACACAGGAACATAACAACTCTTACCCTACTAACACAGGAACACAACATCTCGTGCCACTACTAAAACAGGAACACTTCATAACCTGCCACTATTGATACAAGAACACAACAACACCTGCCACTACTAACACAGGAACACAACAACTAGTGCCACTACTAACACAGGAACACAACATCACCTGCCACTACTAACACAGGAACATAACATCACCTGCCACTACTAACACAGGAACACAAGAACACATGCCACTACAAACAAAGGAACACACCAGCACATGACACTACTAACACAGGTACACAACATAGTAACCTGCCACTACTATCACAAGAAAACACCAACTCCTGCTCCTACTAACACAGTAGCATAACAACTCCCGCCACTACCACAGGAACACAAATAACCCTACCACTACTAACACAGGAACACAACAACACCTGCTACTACTAACACAGGAACACAACAACACCCGCTACTGGCTTTCAAAGGAACACATCAACACATGGCACTACTAACACAGGTACACAACATAACCTGCCACTACCATCACAAGAAAACAACAACACCTGCCTCTACTAACACAGTATATTAAACAACTCCTGCCACTACTAACACAGGAACACAACAAATCCTACCACTACTAACACAGGAACACAACAACACCTGCCACTACTAACACAGGAACACAACAACACCTGCCACTACTTAGCAAAGGAACACATCAACACATGGCACTACTAACACACAGGTACACAACATAACCCGCCACTACTAACACAAGAAACAACAACACCTGCCACTACTAACACAGGAACACACAACTCCTGCCACTACTAACACAGGAACACAACAACTCCCTGCCACTGCTAACACAGGAACACAACAACACCTACCTCTACCAACACAGGAAACACAACAACACCTGCCACTACTAGCACTGGAACACCAACACCCGCCACTACTAACACAGAAACATAACATCACCTACCACTACTAACACAGGAACGAATAAACATAACCTGCCACTACTGACACAAGAACACAACAAACCCGCCACTACTGACACAGTGAACACAACATCACCTGCCACTACTGGACACAGGAACACCACAACATCTGCCACTACTGACACAGGAACACAAATACAACCTGCCACTACTAACACTGGAACACAACATCACCTGCCACTACTTCATCACAGGAACACAACATAACTCTACCAACAAGCACAGGAACACAAAAACACCTGCCACTGCTACCACGGGAACAACACCTGCCACCACACTAACACAGGTACACAACATAACCTGCCACTACTAACACAAAGAAAACAACAACACCTGCCACTACTAACACGAGAACACAACTCCTGCCACTATAACGCAAGACACAACAGCTCCTGCCTACTAACACAGAACACCAACAACACCTCTGCTCTACTAACACAGGAAACACAACAACACCACACTACTAGCACTGGAACACACCAACACCTGCCACTACTAACACAGAAACATAACATCACCTGCACTACTAACTACAGAGACACAACATAACCTGCCACTACTGACACAAAGAACACAACAAACCTGCCACTACTGACACAGAGGCAACATCACCTGCCACTACTAACACAGGAATAGAACAACACCTGCCGCTACTAACACAGGAACACCACAACATCTGCCACTACTGACACAGGAACACAACATAACCTGCCACTACTAACACTGGAACACAACATCACCTGCCACTACTATCACAGGAACACAACATAACCTACCAATGCTAATACAGGAACACAAAAACACCTGCCACTGCTACCACGGGAACAACACCTGCCACCACTAACACTGGAACACAACATTACCTGCCACTACTAACATAGGAACACAACATCACCTACCACTACTAAGACGGGAACACAACATCACTTGCCACTACTAACATAGGAACAAAAAATCACCTTCCACTACTAACACAGGAACACAACATCACTTGCCACTACTACCACAGGAACAAAATATCACCTTCCACTACTAACACAGGAACACAACATCACCTGCCACTACCACAGGAACAAAAAAATCCTGCCACTACTAACACAGGGAACACAACATCACCTGCCACTACTAACACAGGAACCCAACAAAGCACTACTGACAGAGGAACACAACAACACCTGCCACTACTAACACAGGAACTCAACATAACCTGCCACTACTAACACAGGAACACATCACCTGCCACTGCTAACACAGGAATAGAACAACACCTGCCGCTACTAACACAGGAACACAACATCACCTCCACTACTAACACAGGAACACAACAACACCTGCCACTACTAACACAGAGACAAAACAACACGTGCCACTACTTACACAGGAACACAATATCACCTGCCACTACTGACACAGGAACACAACATCACCTGACATTACTAACACAGGAATACAACATAACCTGCCACTACTAACACAGGAACACAACATCACCTGCCACTACTAACACAGGAACACAACATCACCTGACATTACTAACACAGGAACACAACATAACCTGCCACTACTAACACAGGAACACAACAACACCTGCCACCACTAACACAGGAACACAACATAACCTGCCACCAATAACACAGGAACACAACATCACCTGCCACTACTGACACAGGAACACAACAACACCTGCCACTACTAGCACAGGAACACAACTTAACCTGCCACTACTAACACAGAAACACAACATCACCTGCCACTAAAAACATGTTCTTCTCCACAAAGTCTCAATGGGTTTATTACTGTGTTTCACCTAATCTTCTCAAACTCATAAAATTACCTTAATCAACCTCTTGCACCCACCTACACCGAATTCTACCGATGTTTTGTTCGGATCAGTCATCCTCTGTTCTCGTCGATCATTCTCTCGTTCCTATGTTCTTGTTTTCTTTTTATCTCAAGTATAACTGCTTGTTACTATCAAGGTGAACAATTCTCTCATTATTGCCACCTCCTTCTCTCCCAACCTCTATTCATCCTTCTGTGGTTTCAGGGATGGCTACGTGCATAGATTTCCGGCCGGACAACGAGAGTGTGGTACTGCTGGGTGTAGACACCGGCGCGGTGTTCCAGTGCTCCACCATCTGCCTGAGACACTCCCTCTACCGCTACGCTGCCCACTCCTCTCCTGTCCGGGGAGTCACTTGGAACACCTACCACAACGGCATCTTCCTCTCTTGTTCCCTCGACTGGACCGTCAAAGTTTGGCTTCAACACTCTCCGTAAGTTTTCATGTATAGAGTCTACCTTTTACACTGTTTATGATACAGTCAGCCTCTTATGTTTATATATTATTGTTATTATTTGTTTTGGGTTTCTAAGTTAGGAAGAGCATTGAGAAGTGTGTGGACGTCACTTGCTTTGTACATCAAAAAGATAAAATACAAATTTATAAATGTAACAATGCCTGCGGTTAATGAAGAGCAAGACGAGCCAAGATAAACATGCCTAATGAGAGAGACACCGGCTGGTGCGTGTGTCAACAAGGCTGAGATGATGTGTATATCACACATACACATACTCATACACCCACACTCATACACACACGCACAGACACACACACCCATACTCATACAAACACTCACTCACTCATACACCCACATTCATGCTACTACAACTCTGCTGTCACTCGGAATCGAGTATGACGGGCTAACTCGAAAGTATTGACACCTTCACGTGTGGTGCTCCTCCAACCATTACGATGTGGAGTACTCGTTTCCCAGGTGAGGAGGTCGATTTGGCACTTTTTTCAAGTTTGTCTTAAGACTATCCTTATACCTTTTCAGTTGCCCGCCAACGTTACGTTTACTATTTGTTAGGTGACTGTAAATTGGCTGCTTTGGCAGTCTACTGTCATCCATGCGGGTAACATGGCCAGGGCAGCGTACTTGTTCATGTGTTCATGGATAATGGTAGCCTCGATGCTCCTACAGTTGGTATCCGCAAGAATACTGGAATTTGTTCTCTTGGCTTCCCAGCGAACACGGAGGGTGAAATGTAGACTACGTTGGTGAAAGTTTTCAAGTGCCTTGAGGTGCCTCCTGTATGTGACCCATGTCTCACTGCCATATAGCAGGGTGGGGAGGACCACTATTCGACATACGTATAACTTTGAAGATAATTTCATCTCCCTACAGCTGAAGACACGGTTTCGGAGTCTGCCAAGGGCTTGAGATGCACATCTAATCCGCTGCTGAATCTTTTCATCGATGTCGGCGTTGGTGGACAGGTGGGTGCCGAGATACCGAAAGTGGGTAAGATTAGAGAGGGTGGAACCGTTAAGCTGGATGGATGGTCGAGGTGTGGCTGAACCTGGGGCAGGCTGAAAGAGAATCTGAGTCTTATCTACATTCACCTCAAGGCCGAAGTGTGCATATGCATCTGCGTAGGTGTTCAGGATCTCCTAAAGGTCGTGTTTAGTGTGACCAACAAGGATGAGGTCGTCTGCATATTGAAGTTCAGTAATGGAAGATGCCGACACCTTTGTTTTTGCCTGGAGTCGTCTTATGTTGAAAAGACCCTTCTCCCGGTACTCGATGTTCACCCCGCTGGCTAAATTGTCACTGGCACGAGTACGGAAGGCGGCCAAGAAAATGAAAAAGAGAGTTGGTGCCAGTACACACCCTTGCTTAATCACCGTTTGGATGAGGAAGAACTCCTACTGGGTGTCCGTTGTGCAGGACACTGCCGTTCATGCCATCGTGGAGTTGCCTCACAATGGCGATTAATTTTGGTGGGCAGCCAAACCGGCTGAGGGTCCACCAGAGGGCTTCCCTGTTGACCGGGTCGAATGCCTTGGTTAGGTCAATGAAAGCCATGTATAGGTCACGACGCTGTTCTCTTGTATCTGACAACAAGAAACAAAGATCATGTCAGTGGTGCCACGTGATGGTCTAAAACCACATTGAGATTATGGGAGGAAGTTTTACGCCTCAGGAAGATGTCTGTTTAGGAGGACTCGGGTGATAATTTTGCCAGCTATGGGCCGCAGCGAGATCCTGCGGTAGTTTCCACAGTCTGACCGGTCTCCCTTGTTCTTATAAATTTGACAATGGAGGCGTCTTTAAGAGCTTGGGAGATTGCCTCCTTTTTCAGTATACTCGTATTCTCCAGGAGAGAGTGGAGACGGCTGGAAAGCAGAGGTCCTCCTGCTTCTATGCACCTCGGCTGGGATTCCATCAGGCCCCGAGGCTGTTATTTTTCATCTGTTTGATGGCAGTAGCTACCTCATCCAGGGATGGAGGATAGTTGAGATGGATCAGCTCTGGATGCTAAGGGACCTGCTGAGTAGTCAGGACATCGGATGGATGAGCAGAGGGGGGCTTCAACACGAGTGATTTGCCCATAAAATGTTTTAGTGGAGTTGAAAATTTCGTGCATCTTGTGTTGATCTGCAATTTTTTGTTTCACATACTTTATTTTTAAACCATTCATTCTTTGGACTGCGAGATTCCCGCTGGGCAACCCATACACGCACACACACACACACACACACACACACACACACACACACTCATGCACACACACACACACACACACACACACACACACACACACACACACACACACACACACACTAAGTAACGGTTGCTCTCGTGTTCTAGGATGGCCTGCCCAAGGGCCACCTTGGCGTGAATTTTTTCAAGGTGTAGAAGCTGCCTCCAACACAACAACCACACCCTGAATTAACGAGTTGCATGACCAAGTGTCAAGGAATAGTCCGAGAAGACCGGATAACTCACCAAATGCACTGGCTAACCATTACCCCGGAACATCCAGGTTCCCAATTACTGATGAGTAGATAGAGGCAAATGGCGTAAAGAAACTTGCCCATAGTTTCACCCTGCCCGGGGATCGAACCCGGATCCACTTGCTGGTGAGGCGAGCACACACACACAGACACTCACACAACCTTAGTTCACTGGAGGTGATTGGTTTGGTAGTCTCGACTCAACATAACACTAAAAGAATGGGTTCTAGTACGGTAATTGTTTGTACAGTATATATTTCAATAAAATGGTAGTGTCACTTCCGAAGTCCTGAGGTTGGTAGTATTAGTCTCAGTAGGCTCTAGAGTGAAGGATGGGAGCCGCCGGAGTTATTATAAAAATAGATCTGTATTGAGCCACGATTATGTACAGAGACTCTGGGCCTTGACCACTGTCGTTAGGTGTGAGAATAGGATCGTTTTAAGAAGGAGGCCCAGCTAAGACGGCCAGTTCACGACGTGCCAAGGGGCATGGCGGTGAATGTACACTAACTTTAGCAAAGCTTTCACAAAGGAAGGTACATTTCTCGAATTGGTTCATGCCAGAATTATCGTTCACTTCTCATCCTCGCTGGTGATTACATGTGGGGTAGTGAAGTCATACTTCTGATTCAGTGTACTAGAAGCGTTCTCATGCTCGACTGTGGCTAACATGTGGAGGGGTTTGGAATTTGCTGATGGTATATTTGTGCCCTCACTACTGCCGGGTTGTACACTGGTTATTCATCAAGGTTATTCACCATGGTGGATAAGATCCACTGGACACCCTACAGAATGTTCGGCCACTCCAAAATTCGCCCTCGAATTCTCAACCATCAAATTATCACAAGCCTGGCAAGAACCATGAGATTACTATAACTAATAATTCAGAATATATAATAGAAAAAAATGCAAATCTGATATAAAATATACATCCAATATAATAGAAATTTTATGAGAATAAAAATAAAATAAAATAATTGTATTCAAGAAAATGAAAAAAGCCAATGGCTGTCCGCTCTAACTCCAGTAATGTTCCCGTAATGGATTACCGTGTTTTCCTGGAAATTAGTGATAATCGGTTATGTCTCTGAGCAGGATAGGTAACAGGGGACCTGACAGCAACGTCTACAGACTGTGCAGCTGATTTACAAAGGCGTTGCCATAAATACATTCCAATGGTGAACAAAAGGAGTAACGTAGCAAACACTACAAGAGAAGAAGTCACTGTGGGATGGTTGACACTAACAAAGTTCTTGGGTGACCAAACAGGCATAATATAGATTGGCACTCCTTTTATGTAAGAAAGGTTCTTAATTTCCAACGCAGGTTTTATCTTCTGAAATTGAATACATGATCACTGGCGGTCTTTCATAGGCTGGTCGAAGTGTTGGGGTGTCGCTCCCCTTATTATCCCGAGACTAGAGGACAAGGGACATTCGCTAGGCTTATCCCCCCCCCCCCCCCTCGCACTCACCTACCGCCAATGTACTGGTTACTCATATAATAGACAATGCTGATTCCCTGAGATCCAGATTTCCATGTGCCAAACTAGTGATATGCGGTGACTTTAATGAGTTAGACATCAGTAACATCACCCAACACCTCCACCTTGCACAAATAGTTGACTTTCCTACACATGGGAATGCCACCCTGGACCTCATCATGACTGATCTCTGCAACCACTCCCTTCCCCCCCAGCCGCTGCCTCCCATGGGGCGGAGCACCCACCTCTGTCTACTGTGATCACCTTCATCTACCATCTCACGACCGCCAGTTGTCACCAGGACTTACCGACCTACCCCTGACTCTGCCATGCGGAGTTTCGGACAATGGGTGACCCGATATCCCTGGACTGAAGGGGATCACGGTAGACGATGTGCAGAACAAATGGGATAATTACCTGGACACTTATCACCAAAGCCTACACCCAATTCTTTCCAGCCAAGACAGTGAGGATCCACCCCGATGATGTCCCTTGGATTACACCCAGTATCAAAAGACTAAATGAGCAGCGCAACAAGACATACTACACCAACAATCGCCTGTACAAAAGTCTACGTAACCAAGTCATCAGGGAAATCAAGTCAGCCAAGAAGTCTTATTATCCAAGGAAAGTGCACGGCCTCAAGGAGGTCAGCTTCGGTCAGTGGTACTCTAAGGTAAAAGATCTCTATGGTCTTAACCGTCAGTCTCCCACACTTCCTTTTATCTCTCATTAACCTGGTGAGGAGGCAGCTGAGACAATTAATAACCACTTTGCTACCATATGTCATACCCTACCCAGTCTTAACCTCACCCTCCTCCCGGCCTACTTACCTTCCCCCTCCCCTCCTCCCAGTATTCAGCCATTTGTAATTGCCAACAAACTCCTGAAAATTAAATTCAAACGCTCTATAACCCCAATTAACCTCCCAATCAAAATTTACAAGGAGTTTGCAGTCGAACTTGCCACCCCCCCTCTGTTCAATTATTAATGCATCCCTCAGGCAAAGCAAATGCCCAAATGAATGGAAAACCACATATCACCCCTATCCCCAAGGTCCCCACCCCACTGTCCCCTAGTGACCTCAGGCCAGTTGCCATTACCCCCATACCCAGTCTACTCTGTGAAGACTTTGTTTTTGAATGGGCATTTTCAAGTATTTATCAGTCAATTGATCCACAGCAATTTGGCAATATGAGGACCTCCTCCACATCACACTGCTTAGTTAGTTTCCTGGATTTTATGCACAAAAACCTGGAGAAACATAAGACATCACTAGCCGCTGCCCTTGTTGACTTCAGGAAGGCTTTTGACCTTGTTGATCGCTGCACTGTTATCAACAAGGCCATTGCACTAGGGCTACCCACCAACCTGGTCTCATGGCTCACTGATATCCTAAGTGAGCGTCTTCAGGTAGTGAGGTGCCAGGGTTCTGTCTCCACATTCCAACACCTCACCTGCGGTGTTCCCCAGGTGACCAGGATGGGACCACTGTGCTTCCTAATCCTGATCAACGACGCTCTATCGGACACTCCTCACAGGTGGAAGTACGTGGATGACTGCACTGTGCGGGTTACAATGGACAAAACCTCACCGGACTACTGATCGCTACACGGCACCCTGGACAGGTTACAGGCATGGACTACGGAGAACAAGGTCACCATCAATCGCACCAAAACCATAGTCATGCACATCAATACCGCCACCACTCCAGTGTAAGCTCCAGCAGTTACAGTGGGTGCCCATCCTCTCCAGTTAGTGAAATCTGCCAAACTCACGGGTGTAACTATAGATCACAAACTGGACTGGAAGACCCATGTAAACAGCACTATCAAGGCAGCCTCGTACCGACTCTACTTGCTACGACGACTCAGGTCACTTGGGGCACCCACGTCAGAGATGACTATCTACACATTTATACTCCCAAAATTAACGTAGTCGTCTTCTCTCAACTTTACCCAACAACGTCAGCTAGAGAAGGTACAGAAGAGGGCCTGCAGAATCATGCTCGGCGCAGACTACTCTGGCCACAACAACGCTCTCTCCACCCTGGAAATGCCATCCCACCGTGACCTCCACCACCACCACGCACTAGCAGGGTTTGGTAGTGGACTACTGCACCATCCTCGTCATCGCCACTTACTGCCACCTGCAGTGCCCCGCCCACCTCGCCCAGTACGCCACTACAACAAAATTCAACCCGTAAGAGCCCGCACTGATAGATATAAGAATAGCACCATCCTATCTATTGCTAAAATAATAAACGAATCCTGATTTATGTACTGTACAGCCCTGTAAATGTATTGAACGTATTTTATTATGTCTAAATCACATGCAAGTTTGTATATTTTCAGCCACCGGCTGCAACTCTATTAATAAACTGTTTATTATTATTATTATTACTATTATTATTTATTATTATTATATATCGTCCTTGGTCGACAGTGAAGCTTCTTGGCGGTTCAGTGGGACAAGTTAAACTCACAGGAATTCCTGCAGGAAATACGACTAAACAGAACCCAAGATCTCCTCTAAAACTAAATCATTTTTAATCAATGGTGCAAAAACACAATTGGAAACATTTGTCTCAGATGCGACCAGGTCCATCTCACAGGTAGGGTAAGAACCATTCACATTAATCTTGGTAGGGAACAAAGAAGACTGTATGTCTCGGCCAAACATGTGGAGCATAGTTCCAGAGGTGGAATGGCCAGCCATAAGGGGCTTATCGTGAGACAGGAGGAAGGACTTGGAAACGTTGCGCATAATCAAGGTGTGATCCTTTACATTTTTGGAAAAAGTCAAAATATCATATTTACTGAACATATCTTTGTCGATAAATGATGTTAAGAAACAATATAATTAGCCCAACTTTGACAGTCCATGGGAACTGCAGGGTTCAAGTTCAGGAAACTAGTGGCTATTTCCACAATCCTGACCAATTAGATAAAAGGTAGTAAAATGGGTGTGATAAATCCTCTCGACAGCAAGTTTAATTTTGTCACTAGGGACATGAAGTGATTACTGTAATATTCTGTTTAGTCCGACAGGGAATTGATTAGAGAAGTTACCTCCACTTGCCCATGTAAGTTAAAACAGACACTTCAATGTCATTGACCTTATCTACTAGTTGATTTACTGTACTAGTGATTTCAACCAATCGTTTACCATGATTGGCTAATATGCAGGACTGACTGGTCAGTACAGCTGAGTGCTGATCGGCTTGGAGTTTTAAGGCGTTCGTCTGTTTCTGCAAATTGGTTGTCGTCCTCCAGACGGGCCTTTCTGAACGTAACCGAGGAATTTCAGTAGACCGCTATTCTTCCTAAACACTAGGCGATAGGGTAGTTAGACTATGTTGGGGTGGTTTCAATGTCCGAATGTGATTCGGTGAACTGGTGAATAATGAGGTCCAAGGATTCTTTGGTACGCTCCAATTGCTAAGTCCAGTGAGCCCATATGGGAGTGGAGTCCACATGGAAGACGTTAATCATATTTGTGAGAGGGACTATTGTAGGTAATTGGGACAACGTCGACCCAATGACGAGCAGCAGTTCACATTCTACATGGACTGCAAACAACTGCTTCATGATGGTAACGTTCCGTCGAGGAGTTATTAAGCACCCTGGGCCAACAACCCTTAATATCAGGTAGAAATTGAGGATACACATCATGGTCCTGCAGTGAAATTAACTCATTAGCACAGGAGGAACAACAGGTTGAGGTGTGACAGGTGGAGTAGACGGCGAAGGACAAGGATGAGCGACTTCATCAGACTGGGCAGGTTATTGAGTAGCTTCAAGTTATCATGTTCATGTCCTGTGTATATGTGTCACAACTGGTACCTGTTGCCTGAAACGTTCTATATGACTCGATACGGACCACAGAATAATTTATCAAGTATAGTTCTGACAAAATTCCTAACCATTACTAAGCGACCTTTCAAGTCACCAGCTGGCCGGGTTGTCTTATTTCGTTCAGTGGTGAAGGCGGTCGTTGACCTCTCTAACTCATTAATTATTCTCTGGTGAATTAGTTTAGCGTGGTTGAACAGTTGGGGAAATGTGTTCCTACGCTCCCTGTGGTAACCCGTGTCTCCTAATAGCAAAGTTGCAGTAGTAGTATCACTGTTTATGAATGAATGGGTGTTGGTTGTGTAACGATGGACGTGATTGGTGGATAGGTTTGCTGTAGGTCATATAGGTTGGCCGTTTGGCGACGCTGGTTATGACAGAGGGTGCAGGAACACATTTTCCCAACTGTACCTTTAACTTAAGAAATCTTCGCTAACACGGGATTTTCTTCCAACATCTGCTTCAAATGGAAGGGATGTTGTGGTTCTAAATGTTTGGATGCGTCAACAAATATTGTGGTTTAGTTTTGCGACCAGATACAATAATTTTATGAATGCACCAAATTTTTTAAACGCAAAAAACATTTAACTTTAAATTTGTGTATTGAGGAGATTTTGCGGATACAATTGACTTTTAACATTATTACCAATAGTTAGGGGAACAGCTGATTGGTGTTCACTTAATACCTTACAATATCATTTGGATGACTTTTTTAACATCAAACAGTTAAACGTATCACACCGGACCTGTAGTAATGCTGTTTCAGGTCACCGTTGATCACACTGGACCTGGGAGGGCCGGTGGCTGGGGTGAGCTGGTCCCCGTATAGCAGCAGTGTGTTGGTGGCCGTGACGGACGAGTGTCGTGTATTTGTCTACGACCTGTACCTCCGTCGCTGTAGTCCTATGTGCGTCCAGAACCTAGCCCAGCGGCGTCGACTAGCTGCCTCCTGCGTCGCCTTCAGTCCCTTCTACCCTGCCATCATCATCGGCGGTGAGAGGCAAGTTGATGATGACCTGTTCTACGAGTGATGTTAGGTAGATACAGGTGTAGTTTACTTCCTGTAGTCTACCAGTGATTACCTAACCTAACCATATCGCTGTATTTATCTGCTTTATCATTATTAGTACAATAAAGAAATGCTTGTCCAAAACTAATTACTAGATAAACTCTGACGTCATATGCCATACCTGACACAATAAAGAGTTTCATATAACCAGTGAGATAAACTTTAAATGGTAACAGTGTATCACTCGAGGTCAATCTCACCAACAGGAGCCACCTAGTGTCCCTGAAGCTGTCGCCCAACTTGAGGAGTGTACACAAAGACGCCAGTGAGGTGGACCAGAACACGCGGAGAGAGATGGAGCTATGCAAGATGGAGAGGTTAATCGCTACCAGCAAAGGATAATAATGAATGGGATTAAATCATCTTTGGAGAGCATCAGGAAAATGTTCAATAAAATCCATAAGTGTAAAGAGAAGCAAGAGATTGTGTACTGAGACAATATATTCAGTTGTTCGTATGTTTCCCATAACCAAGTTGATCCCAGTACATCGAACAGTAAGGAAAAGAGCATCGATATTACTGTTAAACATCAGAAATAATCAAGACCGTCAGGAAACAGTGTCAGATTACACCAATAGACCAAGGGGCCCCGAAGTCAATAATTTTCGGTATGATGAACAGAGAGACTATACTTGTTGTCTTATGAATGATAACAATAATTAATAAATGTTTCATGATAAACAATAAAGATTTGAATTGTCTACTTATATTTATTTTTCAGCTTCCCCCCTCCCAGCCATATAGCCTCCTGTGTTGCTGAAATACTTTGAGAGGATCGATTCCGAAGTCGATTATTCGATTCTCAAAGTTTTAGGAAATCGCCCATCACCAGTGCTGCCACTCTGGAGGTTTTCCGCCTGGATCTGGGGGTTTCTCAACGCTTATCTCTTGTAAAGAACGAGAAATTAAACAACAATGCGTTTAGATCAAATGTATTAACTCTAATGTGTATAGAAAATGAGTTTGTTAAAAATTTTGATTTTTCTTCACTGATCACAAAGTTTGCTGTCTTAAAAGTAAGAAGGGTGGAAATGTGAGATATGATGTAAAAACTGTAAATGTTTCTAACCTGGGGTCTATTACAACGTGTTTATCACAGTTATTCAGTCATCTTTCAGTGTACAATATTGTTATACATTTTAACGATCTTGACGCACAGTTGTTGTTCTCTGGTAAAATAAATAAACTCCCATCAGATGTAGCCACTAGCGAAACATTAGGTTAGGTTAGGTTAGGTGTATCTAGTGTAGCGTTGGTGTTGTGGGGACCAGGCAAGCAGACAGGTGTTGAGGACCAGGCAAGCAGACAGGTGTTGAGGACCAGGCAAGCAGACAGGTGTTGAGGACCAACCAGGCAGACAGGTGTTGAGGACCAACCAGGCAGACAGGTGTTGAGGACCAGGCAAGCAGACAGGTGTTCAGACAGGTGCTGAGGACCAACCAGGCAGACAGGTGTTGAGGACCAACCAGGCAGACAGGTGTTGAGGACCAACCAGGCAGACAGGTGTTGAGGACCAACCAGGCAGACAGGTGTTGAGGACCAGCCAGGCAGACAGGTGTTGAGGACCAACCAGGCAGACAGGTGTTGAGGACCAACCAGGCAGACAGGTGTTGAGGACCAACCAGGCAGACAGGTGTTGAGGACCAACCAGGCAGACAGGACAGGTGTTGAGGACCAACCAGGCAGACAGGTGTTGAGGACCAGGCAAGCAGACAGGTGTTGAGGACCAACCAATCAGACAGGTGTTGAGGACCAACCAGGCAGACAGGTGTTGAGGACCAACCAGGCAGACAGGTGTTGAGGACCAACCAGGCAGACAGGTGTTGAGGACCAACCAGACAGACAGGTGTTGAGGACCAGCCAGGCAGACAGGTGTTGAGGACCAACCAGGCAGACAGGTGTTGAGGACCAACCAGGCAGACAGGTGTTGAGGACCAACCAGGCAGACAGGTGTTGAGGACCAACCAGGCAGACAGGTGTTGAGGACCAACCAGGACCAACCAGGCAGACAGGTGTTGAGGACCAACCAGGCAGACAGTGTTGAGGACCAACCAGGCAGACAGGTGTTGAGGACCAACCAGGCAGACAGGTGTTGTGAGGACCAACCAGGCAGACAGGTGTGAGGACCAACCAGGCAGACAGGTGGTGAGGACCAACCAGGCAGACAGGTGTTGACGACCAACCAGGCAGACAGGTGTTGAGGACCAACCAGGCAGACAGGTGTTGAGGACCAACCAGGCAGACAGGTGTTGAGGACCAGGCAAGCAGACAGAGAGCAGGTGTTGAGGACCAGGCAAGCAGACAGGTGTTGAGGACCAGGCAAGCAGACAGGTGTTGAGGACCAGGCAGCAGACCAGGACCAACCAGGCAGACAGGTGTTGAGGACCAACCAGGCAGACAGGTGTTGAGGACCAACCAGGCAGCAGTGTTGAGGACCAACCAGCAGACAGGTGTTGACCAACCAGGCAGACAGGTGTTGAGGACCAGGCAATCAGACAGGTGTTGAGGACCAACCAGGCAGACAGGTGTTGAGGACCAACCAGGCAGACAGGTGTTGAGGACCAACCAGGCAGACAGGTGTTGGGACCAAGGCAGACAAGGCAGACAGGTGTTGAGGACCAACCAGGCAGACAGGTGTTGAGGACCAACCAATCAGACAGGTGTTGAGGACCAACCAGGCAGACAGGTGTTGAGGACCAACCAGGCAGACAGGTGTTGAGGACCAACCAGGCAGACAGGTGTTGAGGACCAGGACCAACCAATCAGACAGGTGTTGAGGACCAACCAGGCAGACAGGTGTTGTGAGGACCAACCAATCAGACAGGTGTGTGAGGACCAACCAGGCAGACAGGTGTTGAGGACCAACCAGGCAGACAGGTGTTGTGAGGACCAACCAGGCAGACAGGTGTTGAGGACCAACCAGGCAGACAGGTGTTGAGGACCAACCAGGCAGGTGTTGAGGACCAACCAGGCAGACAGGTGTTGAGGACCAACCAGGCAGACAGGTGTTGAGGACCAACCAGGCACAGGTGTTGTGAGGACCAACCAGGCACACAGGTGTTGTGAGGACCACCCAGGCAGACAGGTGTTGTGAGGACCAACCAGGCAAACAGGTGTTGAGGACCAACCAGGCACACAGGTGTTGTGAGGACCAACCAGGCAGACAGGTGGTGGGACCACAGGTGTTGTGAGGACCAACCAGGCAAACAGGTGTTGAGGACCAACCAGGCACACAGGTGTTGTGAGGACCAACCAGGCAGACAGGTGTTGTGAGGACCAACCAGGCAGACAGGTGTTGTGAGGACCAACCAGGCAGACAGGTGTTGAGGATCAACCAGGCAGACACGTGTTGTAAGGACCAGCCAGGCAAACAGGTGTGTGAGGACCAACCAGGCAGACAGCTGTTGAGGACCAACCAGGCACACAGGTGTTGTGAGGACCAACCAGGCAGACAGGTGTTGTGAGGACCACCCAGGCAGACAGGTGTTGTGAGGACCAACCAGGCAGACAGGTGTTGAGGACCACCCAGGCAGACAGGTGTTGTGAGCACCAACCAGGCAGACAGGTGTTGTGAGGACCACCCAGGCAGACAGGTGTTGTGAGGACCACCCAGGCTCTTATGTAATCACTGTCCAATTTCTGCCGCACAACAACGAAGGCCAGAATGCCAACACGCCTTGTTACAGAGACGCAACACGACCAGACCCGCATGACCTACAGTAGTAGTTGTAGGTCCATCGTTTCGGGGGGATAACTCTAAAACGGGTACTTTTCCCGGAAATAAAGGCCAAATTCGATTAAATCACACAGGATACACTAATTTCTAAACTACTAGGGCATATTGGACGAAAATACAATTTTACCACTTAGCCAATCCGAGCGCACTCACGGTAAAATAGAGCTAGTAGGAACTTAGCCGGTCACGGCAAAATATCCATTACGTTTTATTTTTACCACTGATCGGCTCGTGAGCCGCTTGGGCGATCGGCCACGTCTCTGTTACACACTGCTGGCAAGTACTGGGCATGCACCGGCTCCTGAATGTACCTGAAGTTGCTTCAGTGTTGGTCAAGTCTGGTCTTGAAAGAGCTCACACTCGGTGCTGTCACAACACTCTGGCAGATTGTTCCAAGAGTTCACAACTCTCACTCCGAAAAAGTTACCCCTCACAGTTTTCTGTACCTGCGGCTTTTTCAATTTTGAGCTGTGACCTCTTGTGGGGGGTGGAGGGTGCGCCCCTGACTCTGTGTCGGCACACTTGCTTCCACTACCCCCCCCCCCTCCTGAATATAACCCATGTACACCCGTCTCCGTTCCTCCTTGACTCCTCCCTTCTCTGCTTCAAGCCCTGCAGGAGCTTCTTGTGTTGTTCCCTCTGCATTACCGTGCGATCTGGGTAAATGAATACACTCCGAGAAGCCTCGCTCCTTGCTAAGTTTTTTGCCTGCCGAATAACCTCCCATTTCTCCTCCTCACTCACTAGTGTGATCCTGAGGGGGCGAGGCTTGTCCCCCTGCTTTTGCCCCAGCCTCTTCACATCCTGAGGGGTTAATGGCATTTTCAGAACCTCTGTATAAATATTCTTAAACTGCATCCTATCGTGTGTTATCCTACTCTCAGCTTCCTCCACCTGGCTCTCAGGGATTCCATAAACTATTACATTGTTCCTGCGCTGGAAATGTTCCTGTTGTTCCTCCTCTCCCCGAACAGTAAGTCCGCAAAATGCGAATTCTTCGACGCACTTCTTCAGAGTCCCTAGCTGTTGTAGAGCCTGTTCTGATCCTGCATTACTCTCCACCACCTCCCGTGGCCTTTTTAAGGCCTGAGCATAACTCCTCTTTGCTACCACCTCCATTCTATCGGCTACTTCTTCAGTCTTGGCAAGGATCTCTTTCCCAACTTGTTCTAGTTCTTTTGTAGGTTCCCTCTGAAGACGCTACCTCACCTTGCGTGGAGAAGGACGTGCCTTAAGTGATCGTGTTAGTGACCATAGGAAATGGCCGCCGTGGATCGTTGTGTTGTGAGGGAAGAGAGGCGGTGTGTGAGGAAAGTCGACCCCCTGGCCACTCTGTTAAGTCAGCTGGAGCAGTTGTGGAGAGAGATAGACGTTTTAAAGGGGGAGAACGAAGCCCTCAGGACTGAACTCCTTCTGCGAAGGAGGAGCAGGCGTGGAGAGTGGTTGTCTCCAAGGGGACTAGGGTCAGACTCAGGAAAGTTGACCAGGGTGTGGAGTGCAGTAACCCCTACCAAGTGTTGGAGGAAGCTGGCGA